ACTGGACCATATGGTACAGCCTTATTATACTAGGTCACAACACTCCAGTCGTGTATGGGGCCTGGCCAGTTCTCTTATATTCATTCCTCTATGAAGGGCCAAGGCATCTCACGTGACGCCTTACGTTGGGATGGTAGGATGACAACTAAAAGACGGACTGGCTCTCCAGTCTCACATCCCTCCCCTCATGCCTCTAGCTAGGGCCAATTCACAGGTAGGGAGGCGTGCGTGCCAGTCTCTTTCCTCTGAGCCAAGGGTAGTGGCAGTTGGGATGGAGAATACAATAAAGATGACTGGCCAGTACAGCCTCTTATCTAGGTCACGTCCACTCGTGAGGGGCTGTGCCAGTCTCTTCCTCTCTCCCTCTGAGCCAAGGGCAGTGGCAGTTGGGATGGAGGATGCAATAAAGATGACTGGCCGGTACAGCCTCTTATCTAGGTCACCTCCAGTCGTGAGGGGCTGTGCCAGTCTCTTCCTCTCTCCCTCTGAGCCAAGGGCAGTGGCAATTGGGATGGAGGATGCAATAAAGATGACTGGCCGGTACAGCCTCTTATCTAGGTCACCTCCAGTCATGAGGGTCTGTGCCAGTCTCTTCCTCTCTCCCTCTGAGCCAAGGGCAGTGGCAGTTGGGATGGAGGATGCAATAAAGATGACTGGCCGGTACAGCCTCTTATCTAGGTCACCTCCAGTCGTGAGGGTCTGTGCCAGTCTCTTCCTCTCTCCCTCTGAGCCAAGGGCAGTGGCAATTGGGATGGAGGATGCAATAAAGATGACTGGCCGGTACAGCCTCTTATCTAGGTCACCTCCAGTCGTGAGGGGCTGTGCCAGTCTCTTCCTCTCTCCCTCTGAGCCAAGGGCAGTGGCAATTGGGATGGAGGATGCAATAAAGATGACTGGCCGGTACAGCCTCTTATCTAGGTCACCTCCAGTCGTGAGGGGCTGTGCCAGTCTCTTCCTCTCTCCCTCTGAGCCAAGGGCAGTGGCAGTTGGGATGGAGGATGCAATAAAGATGACTGGCCGGTACAGCCTCTTATCTAGGTCACCTCCAGTCATGAGGGGCTGTGCCAGTCTCTTTCTCCCTCTGAGCCAAGGGCAGTGGCAGTTGGGATGGAGGATGCAATAAAGATGACTGGCCGGTACAGCCTCTTATCTAGGTCACCTCCAGTCGTGAGGGGCTGTGCCAGTCTCTTTCTCCCTCTGAGCCAAGGGCAGTGGCAGTTGGGATGGAGGATGCAATAAAGATGACTGGCCGGTACAGCCTCTTATCTAGGTCACCTCCAGTCGTGAGGGGCTGTGCCAGTCTCTTTCTCCCTCTGAGCCAAGGGCAGTGGCAGTTGGGATGGAGGATGCAATAAAGATGACTGGCCGGTACAGCCTCTTATCTAGGTCACTTCCAGTCGTGAGGGGCTGTGCCAGTCTCTTTCTCCCTCTGAGCCAAGGGCAGTGGCAGTTGGGATGGAGGATACAATAAAGATGACTGGCCAGTACAGCCTCTTATCTAGGTCACGTCCACTCGTGAGGGGCTGTGCCAGTCTCTTCCTCTCTCCCTCTGAGGCAAGGGCAGTGGCAGTTGGGATGGAGGATGCAATAAAGATGACTGTCCGGTACAGCCTCTTATCTAGGTCACCTCCAGTCATGAGGGTCTGTGCCAGTCTCTTTCTCCCTCTGAGCCAAGGGCAGTGGCAGTTGGGATGGAGGATGCAATAAAGATGACTGGCCGGTACAGCCTCTTATCTAGGTCACCTCCAGTCGTGAGGGGCTGTGCCAGTCTCTTCCTCTCTCCCTCTGAGCCAAGGGCAGTGGCAATTGGGATGGAGGATGCAATAAAGATGACTGGCCGGTACAGCCTCTTATCTAGGTCACCTCCAGTCATGAGGGTCTGTGCCAGTCTCTTCCTCTCTCCCTCTGAGCCAAGGGCAGTGGCAGTTGGGATGGAGGATGCAATAAAGATGACTGGCCGGTACAGCCTCTTATCTAGGTCACCTCCAGTCATGAGGGTCTGTGCCAGTCTCTTCCTCTCTCCCTCTGAGCCAAGGGCAGTGGCAGTTGGGATGGAGGATGCAATAAAGATGACTGGCCGGTACAGCCTCTTATCTAGGTCACCTCCAGTCATGAGGGGCTGTGCCAGTCTCTTCCTCTCTCCCTCTGAGCCAAGGGCAGTGGCAGTTGGGATGGAGGATGCAATAAAGATGACTGGCCGGTACAGCCTCTTATCTAGGTCACCTCCAGTCGTGAGGGGCTGTGCCAGTCTCTTCCTCTCTCCCTCTGAGCCAAGGGCAGTGGCAGTTGGGATGGAGGATGCAATAAAGATGACTGGCCGGTACAGCCTCTTATCTAGGTCACCTCCAGTCGTGAGGGGCTGTGCCAGTCTCTTCCTCTCTCCCTCTGAGCCAAGGGCAGTGGCAGTTGGGATGGAGGATGCAATAAAGATGACTGGCCGGTACAGCCTCTTATCTAGGTCACCTCCAGTCGTGAGGGGCTGTGCCAGTCTCTTCCTCTCTCCCTCTGAGCCAAGGGCAGTGGCAGTTGGGATGGAGGATGCAATAAAGATGACTGGCCGGTACAGCCTCTTATCTAGGTCACCTCCAGTCGTGAGGGGCTGTGCCAGTCTCTTCCTCTCTCCCTCTGAGCCAAGGGCAGTGGCAGTTGGGATGGAGGATGCAATAAAGATGACTGGCCGGTACAGCCTCTTATCTAGGTCACCTCCAGTCGTGAGGGGCTGTGCCAGTCTCTTCCTCTCTCCCTCTGAGCCAAGGGCAGTGGCAGTTGGGATGGAGGATGCAATAAAGATGACTGGCCGGTACAGCCTCTTATCTAGGTCACCTCCAGTCGTGAGGGGCTGTGCCAGTCTCTTCCTCTCTCCCTCTGAGCCAAGGGCAGTGGCAGTTGGGATGGAGGATGCAATAAAGATGACTGGCCGGTACAGCCTCTTATCTAGGTCACCTCCAGTCGTGAGGGGCTGTGCCAGTCTCTTCCTCTCTCCCTCTGAGGCAAGCGCAGGCGCAGCTGGGAGATCGAGGACCAAGGAATGCCATACAAGATGACTGCCAAAGGTACAGCCCTTATCTGGTCATCCTCAGTCGTGCAGAGGGTCGTTAGCAGTCTCTTCTCACTCTGGAGGCAAGGGCCAGCTGGCAGCTTCGGGATGGAGGATGCACATAACAGATGACTGACCGGTGACAGCCTCTTATCTAGGTCACCTCCAGTCGTGAGGGGCTGTGCCAGTCTCTTCCTCTCTCCCTCTGAGCCAAGGGCAGTGGCAGTTGGGATGGAGGATGCAATAAAGATGACTGGCCGGTACAGCCTCTTATCTAGGTCACCTCCAGTCGTGAGGGGCTGTGCCAGTCTCTTCCTCTCTCCCTCTGAGCCAAGGGCAGTGGCAGTTGGGATGGAGGATGCAATAAAGATGACTGGCCGGTACAGCCTCTTATCTAGGTCACCTCCAGTCGTGAGGGGCTGTGCCAGTCTCTTCCTCTCTCCCTCTGAGCCAAGGGCAGTGGCAGTTGGGATGGAGGATGCAATAAAGATGAGAGGTCAGGACAGCCACGAGGGACAAGGCCACACACGCGCACACACACAAGACAGGACAGTGGGATGCTACCACGGTATATTATATATTTCTTTGCTGCCACCAATTTATTATTAAGATTTCTTTGGCTGCCACCATTTATTGATCCACCGACCACCTCCTTGCTAGAATGTTCAAGAGGACACACAGACTCTTCATTTGAACTAAAAGAAGAATGTGTTGTTTATTTTGTTCTTGAACAGTAAAGATGTGCAGTGGTTTCACTTTTACAGGTTTTACTTTTACAGAGAATGGTTTTATAACATGGGATTCTTAAAAAAACAATGTTCCACACTCAGGAATACAAACAGGCTGTTTTAAACCTTTTGAATCCTCTTTCCATTCCAGCACTCTAAGACTGTAGAGGCTCACTAATACTTCTTCTCCTTCTCCCTGAAGGCTTTAATTTCATTCCTCAAAGATGTAGCTTTCTAATAACACTTCCCAAAACTCTTCCTTCCTTAGGTTCTTGTGGGTTTTTTCGGGCTATAGGGCCATGTTCTAGAGGCATTTCTCCTGACGTTTCGCCTGCATCTATGGCAAGCATCCTCAGAGGTAGTGAGGTCTGTTGAAATTAGGATAATGGGTTTATATATCTGTGGAATGACCAGGGTGAGGCAAGGAGCTCTTCCCTGCTGGAGATAGGTGTGAATGTTTCAACTGACCACCTTGATTAGCATTTAAAGGCCTGGCTGAGCCTGGGAAAATCTTTTGTTGAGAGGTGTTAAGATGTGCCTGGTTGTTTCCTCTCTGTTGTTTTGCTGTTGTAATTTTAGAGTTTTTTAATACTGGTAGCCAGATTTTGTTCATTTTCATGGTCTCTTCCTTTCTGTTGAAATTGTCCACCTGCTTCTTGTGGATTTCAATGGCTTCTCTGTGTAGCCTGACATGGTGGTTGTTGGAGTGGTCCAGCATTTCTGTGTTCTCAAATAATATGCTGTGTCCAGGCTGGTTCATCAGGTGCTCTGCTATGGCTGGCTTCTCATCTTGACTTAGTCTGCAGTGCCTTTCATGTTCCTTGATTCATGTTTGGGCAATGCTGCTGCGTTTGGTGGTCCCTGTGTAGACTTCTTGTCCACAGCTGCATGGGATACAATGGTAGACTCCTGCAGATGTGAGAGGATCCCTCTTGTCCTTTGCTGAACGGAGCATTTGTTGGATTTTCTTGGTGGGTTTGTAGATGGTTTGTATGTTGTGTTTCCTCATCAGCTTCCCTATGCGGTCAGTAGTTCCCTTGATGTATGGGTTTATGTATATATGTATATAAACCCATTGTCCTAATTCCAACAGACCTCACTCCCTCTGAGGATGCTTGCCATAGATGCAGGCGAAACGTCAGGAGAAAATGCCCCTAGAACATGGCCCTATAGCCCGAAAAAACCCACAAGAACCTAGTGATTCCAGCCATGAAATCCTTCCTTCCTCTTCAAATCTCCCAAACTAGCTCTTCAAACTCCTAACTTCCAACTCCCACCTGACAAAACTCTGGCTACATTAGCTCCTACTTTCTCTCTGGCTCCACCCATCTCCCGTTGCAAACAACTCCCTCCAATTTCATCAGCCAGTCAGACTGCACTTCCAGCTATTAAGCTGCCTGATCGCTCCACCCCCCTACTCTCCTTAGCTTTTCCAAACTAGGCTTGTTACTGCCTGTATACCAACCTTGTAAGGTAGTCTAATCCACTACAAAGGAGGGACCTTTCCTCTGTTTCTGGGCCTCCACATGTTGGAGCTGTGCCTGTTTCTTCCTCCAGTATTATTTGACATAGTTCTCTGAATAGTTTCAAACTGCATTAATTCTGCAGTGTAGATATAGCCATAGTTGGCCTGACTCTACTGATGGTGTTGTCTGTGTTGTCAGAGGTTTAAATGATAAGAAAACAACTGATAGTGTGAACGGGACTAAGAACTCCAGAAGCCCACAGAGAGGTGTAGTAGACTTCTGCAGTAAGAAGAAAACAGAGACACAGTTGTTCTTTCCAAAAACATGCAGGAAGGCTAACCTCTTCTTTAGTCGCAGCAATATATATGTGCTGGTATGGCTGTACCAGGAGCTCCAACTTTATTTGCTTTGTATTAAATGTTTGTTTGCAGTCCTAGGTTTCAGGGACTCTCCAGAAGGGTGGCTTCCTTTGGTTGCAATCATAGGGCAAGTCACCTGTCCATCATCGTTAAGTTTTGCTCAGGGCAATTGGGAAGGGAAGGGAGCCATTTTTAGTTAGTCTCAGGAAGGAAAGCTAATGTGCAGGACGTGTGCAAGCTTCCCCTGTACACAAGCTTCAACCCTTAAGACTTTCCAGAGGAAAACAGTCTTAAGAGCATCCAAAAATCTCTGAAGATTTCCAGGGAAACAGCTCTAAAGCCTTGAGGAATTTTGGAGGGCAAACAGTTTGGGAGACCACAGAACTCCAGCTGGAGAATCTACTGACCTTACTGGCACATCCACTCGGTGTACGAGAAGCAGTTTGACCCGGTAGCGGAGCCCACATCAGTAAGAGTTAGATTACAGTCAGCCTGGGAGAAGTTAAAAGGGGGATTTTCCTTTAAAGTAAAGAAGAAGTTATTGAAGACAGTTGCCTGACCTTTGTGGGCAAGTTTAGGAAGCCATCAGTTGCATAAAAGCCTGGAAGCATTTGTTTAACTTTATTGAAGACAAGAAAAGTTTCTTTTTGATTGTTCATTAATAAAGGACTTTGTTATTCTTCACAAGCCATCTAAAGACTATTTGTGGTGGAAAATCCCTGAGAGCTTCTCTTTCGGAGGCCCCTGGCTTCCCGCTGGGCAAAGGTCGCACGTCCTGATCTAAAGACAATTCTTTACAGGCCCAGCGCACGACAGAATAATATACATTATATACACAATATATGCAAACTCTCTCCTCCAGCAGCATCTCTCTAATTCTCTCCAACAAATTCCATTCATTCCTCAACAACTATAATTAGGGAGAACACAACTTTTACACTTCCCCATTGCATGAGCCTCCACATCCTAATTACATGTGCGTTAGGCCTGAAGTAATTTACACATCCTGACATGTATCACTAGGAGAAACACGACGAGGCCTCGGAGTTCACGATGGAGAACATGGTTTCCTGCTGCATTGATGTATTTGGTGCAGGAACTGAATCAACCAGCTCCACACTCCAACATGGCCTCCTGATCCTCCAGAAGCACCCAGAGATTGAAGGTAAGGCAGATGTGAAGGCTTCAGACCAACAGCTTCAAGACTAAATGTGACCACGTTCTGGAAATATGTTTGGGTTGGAAATAAGTTCTGGAAGTGGGGAGATTATTAATTCTGGTTTGCATACACTGAATTGATGTTCAGGTCATGTGTGATGTTAGAAGGTAGGTATTTATGGACCAATTGAGCTTCTTGATCACTTGGGGCCAGTGCCATAGCCAGAACCTTGTGGGGTGGGGGGTGGAAGTGTAGTTCCATAACACAAAATAATTTAAATAGTACAGTTCATTCTATATTTTTATATAGACTGAATTTAATCTATTTTCTATTTTAGTTACAAAGTTTCAAATCTTAAAATAACTCAAAATGACTTAATTGGTAATTTATAGTTACAAAAGAATACCACATCTGTTGGAAACACTTGAAAACTGTGTCAATACACTGGGTTGTTGTGGGTTTTTTCAGGCTATATGGCCATGTTCTAGAGGCATTCTCTCCTGACGTTTTGCCTGCATCTATGGCAAGCATCCTCAGAGGTAGTGAGGTCTGTTGGAACTAGGAAAAAGGGCTTATATATCTGTGGAATGACCAGGGTGGGACAAAGGACTCTTGTCTGCTGGAGCTAGGTGTGAATGTTTCAACTGACCACCTTGATTAGCATATAATGGCCTGACAGTACCTAGAGCAAACTTTTGTTGAGAGGTGATTAGATGTCCTTGTTTGTTTCCTCTCTGTTGTTGTGCTGTTGTAATTTTAGAGTTTTTTTTAATACTGGTAGCCAGATTTTGTTCATTTAGATGAAGAAACCATGAAAATGAACAAAATCTGGCTACCAGTATTAAAAACTCTAAAATTACAACAGCAAAACAACAGAGAGGAAACAAACAAGGGCATCTAATCACCTCTCAACAAAAGATTGTCTAGGCACTGTCAGGCCATCAAATGCTAATCAAGGTGGTCAATTGAAACAATCACACCTAGCTCCAGCAGACAAGAGTCCTTTGTCCCACCCTGGTCAGATATATAAACCCTTTTTCCTAGTTCCAACAGACCTCACAACCTCTGAGGATGCTTGCCATAGATGCAGGAGAAACGTCAGGAGAGAATGCCTCTAGAACATGGCCATATAGCCCGGAAAAACCTACAACAACCCAGTGATTCTGGCCATGAAAGCCTTCAACCATACATTGTGTCAATACACTTTGTCAGAAATCAGGCTCCAGCGATAAACTTCAGTGGACACTCAAGAGTGCAAGTCCAGTCAGTTTTGTTTGCCCCACAGTGCTTCTTATATATGTTTTCAAATGTTTAAGAGTTGAAAATGACCCCCCCCCTCCATATATGCTCACACACTTTAAATTGGGATATCTAAAAATCAAGATCAGTGACCCATTTGTTGATTATTCATTCAGTCATTTCCAACTCTTCGTGACCTCATTGACCAGCCCATGCCAGATGACTTATATCTGTAAGTCATCTGGCATGGGCTGGTCAATGTAAGTGTAATATCTGTAAGTGGTGTGTACCTCACACACTTTGCTACACACCATATTGTCCATTGTTATTCAGCTACGCCTTACTGCTTCCTCACTTTGTCTCCCAAGTCCGACCCATATCATGCTTTGCATGAGCTCCATGTTGATTCTTCAGGCCTGTTTTTTTTTCTGCTCGTCTTCATGCACTCACACATTCATTCTTTATAGGGTAAACAATATATAAAAAAACTAACATGTAGTTTGAGGGAAGGGCCTTCTTGTTTGATTTCTCTGTTGTTTGCTAGACGTTTGTTTCTTCATACTTCACCTCTTCCATCTCCTGGCAGAGAAAGTGCAGGCAGAGATTGACCGCGTGGTTGGCCGCTCTCGGATGCCCGGCATGGCTGACCGTGGACAGATGCCCTACACAGATGCGGTCATCCATGAGATCCAGAGGTCCCTCTCTATTGCTTCAGTGTCCGTCCCCCATGCCATGGTCAATGACACACCATTCAGAGGATACATCATCCCCAAAGTGAGTTCTCCACTTCTTCTTCCAGAAATACGCTGCTCCATGGTCCCAGTAAAACTGAATGGTATCTTGGAGACAGTGACAAATACTTCCACAACATTCAATAATGTGACACTCTATGTGCAATATTCAATAATGTGACATTCTATGTGCTAGCGGTGTGCAATTATTTGTTAGTCCTCATCGGTCTGATCAAATTTGTTAAATTCTTACTTACGAGTCAATATCCAAAACACGACCATGGATGTTGCGTTGAGTCAATTTGTTGCGCAGTAGCAATGTCCAACATGCCCAGAAACCCAATGTCAAAGACACAGACCAGTCAGAAGAAATAAAACAGTAGAGCTTTACTCTTGGTTGCAGAGTTGAAAATAAACAGCTTGGCACACTTACATTGTCTCTGTAAGTAATATAGAACCAATGTTCTGTGTTACAAATTATAGAGCATAACAAAAGTACACAGTTACTTCACCATAACATAAGCTTCTTGCATCTGCTCTCCAGCAAGATGCTTATGTTATGGTGGTTATGTTATGTTATGGTAACTACTACCTGTTTGCAAAATCCTCAAACTATAACATTCAAGAGGTGTGGCCCAGCCATGCTGTGCTGGGCTAGTTAACTGCAGCTGCAGTTAACCATCAACACTTTACAAGGCTTTTCTTCAAGGCTTTCTTTAACACACACACACACTGGACTTAAAGCAATATACCGCAATAGTCCGCACCCAAAACTTAAGAATTGAAGCTTGCCCAATACTTTTTCGTTTTCATTTTATAAAGCTCGGAAGCCTCCCACAGTTAGTTTCATTTTCAGCTCAAGGAAGCAAAGCAAAGCCAAAAAGGCTGCCATTCCAGTTTAAACTAGTGACCTCTCACCATGAGGAGAGGGAAGCAGCAGGGAGAAAGCAGAGTTTGTCAGAGTTTTATATCAATTGAGTCATTTCTTAAGTGAAAAAGTGAGTAAGTATTTGTAAGGACCATGTCCAAGCATTGCATGGAGAGCAACTGTCAAGCCACCTGTGATAGATTAGATGCTACAAATTGGGACTAAGCACTGTGTGTTGTAGAGAAGAGACTGGAGAGAAGAGACTGGAGAGCAGAGACTGGAGAGCAAGAGCAAAAGAGCAAGAGCAAAAGAGCAAGAGCAAAAGAGCAAGAGCAAAAGAGCAAGAGATTGCTGAAGAAGCTCAAGAAAGGTTTGCTGGAGGATTGAAACTATTTCTGTGACTATGGTATATAAACATTTCTTTATTGAAGAGAGTTTGTCTTCTGTTGATTGTTCTCCTTGGGCAACGGGGCGCAGCTTCCGGAAAGGGGGTTTGGATGCTTGGAATCAACCCCAACTTTAAAGCAGTGACACTAAAGCTGCAACAGAGTTCACTGGTAAAGAAAGCATAGATTTCTGGGAAATGTAGTTTGGGAAGGCAAGGAACCCTATGCCAGAGAATGCAGAAGGCCCTGCCCTGAACTACACTACACTTGATGCAGGCCAAAATCCCATTGGCTTTTTTTGCCATCACATCACATTCCTGGCTCATGTTTAACTTCCTCCCCACGAGGACTCCAAGATCTTTTTCACACATCCTGCTCTTGAGCCAGGCCTCATCGTCCCCCATTCTGTCTCTTTGCATTTCGTTTTTTCTGCCAAAGTGGGGTATCTTGCATTTGTTCCCGTTGAACTTCAATTTGTTAGTTTTGGCCATTCATCTCTCCAATCTGTCAAGATCGTTTTGAATCCTGCTCCTGTCCTCTGGACTATTGGCTCTCCCTCCCAATTTGGTGTCATCTGCAAACGTGATGATCCTGCCTTCCAACCCCTCATCCAAGTCATTAATAAAGATGTTGAACATGAGGCCAAGCCCAACAGCATATTACAATAAAGTAAAACCAAAACACATAATCCATTTCCCAGGCCTTGCAATTCCAAAGTCTTCATGTTTTGATCATTATCTCTCCAACACCAATACTCTGCAGGGCACCACAATCTTTCCTGTTCTAATCTCGGTGCTGCATGATGACAAGGAATTTCCCAACCCCAAAGAGTTTGACCCAGGACACTTCCTAAACGAAGATGGGACCTTCAGGAAGAGTGACTACTTCATGCCCTTTTCGGCAGGTAAGACCCTCTCTTCCTCCCATTGGGTAGCAACCTTGGACATCCCGTGGTCAAGCAGCTCTTTCTGGGTTTCTGGGTTGTCAATTGCTGGGGAAATGGCTCTGTGGTCCTTCCAGTTGTGGCTTCCACCTGATCATCACATGACTGTGAGATATGGATTGCTTCTGTCCAAAGAGAGCTCGCAATTCATACTTCTCCATAAAAGCCTGGAAATATTGACCACCATGGCATCCAAAAAAAGACCATTGGAGGCCACCAAAGTATTTTAAAATAGAAAAATACCCTCTCTCTATGTTGGACCTCTCTAAGTGGATGATGGAGAGAACCTCAAAAGTGGAGTGTTGTGTGAAGTGCCTGTATGGCCTTGTTCGAGCAGCATTTTCTCCTAATGTCTTGCGTGCATCTGTCGCTGGCTGGCATCTTGAGAGGATTTGATGGTAGTAAAGCTTTACAACCATCAGTTCCTCTGAAGATGCCAGCCACAGATGCAGGACAACCATCAGGAGAAAATGCTTCTAGATGTCCTTGTTTGTTTCCTCTCTGTTGTTGTGCTTTTGTAATTTTAGAGTTTTTTTAACACTGGCAGCCAGATTTTGTTCATTTTCATGGTTTCCTCCAACAACAGAGGGGAAACAAACAAGGACATCTAATCACCTTTCAATAAAAGTTTGCTCCAGTCACTGTCAGGCCATTATATCTTAATCAAGGTGGTCAGTTGAAACATTCACACCTAGCTCCAGCAGACAAGAGTCCTTTGTCTCACCCTGGTCATTCCACAGATATATAAACCCTTTCTCCTAGTTCCAACAGACCTCACTACCTCTGAGGATGCTTGCCATAGATGCAGGTAAAACGTCAGGAGAGAATGCCTCTAGAACATGGCCATATAGCCCAAAAAAACCTACAACAACCCCGTGATTCTGGCCATGAAAGCCTTCGACGATACTGAAGAGAAGCTTTTCCCTTTTGGTCATAACTTCCTTTCAGATATCTAAGGACGGCTCTGCCAAGTCACAAAGCATGGGAAATAAACTAGACGAACTTGAACTCTTAATACAAGGCAAATACAATATCATTGGCCTCACTGAAACCTAGTGGGACAAATCTCATGACTGAAATATAATAATAGAGGTATACAACCTATTTTGTAGAAATAGAGCAAACTGAAACAGAGGAGCAGTAACATTGGATGTTTTCAACCGGGAAACCAGGGTGAGAACATTTGGGTAAAAATCAATGGGGGAAAGAAACAAGGATGTTGCTGTGGGGATCTACTACGGGGAAGAACATCCTCATTGTTGAATAGTGGAATTTACTGCCTCAGTGTGTGGTGGAGGCTCCTTCTTTGCATCTTACAGCTCTCTTTATGACCCCTTTCATTATTTTCCCCATTCTTTCCTGTGTCTCCTTGCAGGGAAACGGATCTGTGTAGGGGAAGGCCTGGCCCGCATGGAGCTCTTCTTGTTCTTCACCTCCATCCTCCAGAACTTCAAGCTGAAACCCATCACAGACCCCAAGGACATTGATGCCACACCGCTGATGAAACCCATGAGCAGATTCCCCCGACCCTATAAGTTCTGTGTTATCCCTCGCTGAAAAGCTCCTTCCTGGGGAAAGTCATGGATCACTGCACACACTCAGCTTTGGCTTCTTTGTTAAACAACTATCCTAGACCTTCTTTGTGAGGCAACAATACTAGAGATGTCTGAAAGCCATTCCAGCCTTCAGCAAAAACATGATTTTATATTATAGCCACAGGGCAGGGGGTTGGACTGGATGGCCCATGAGGTCTCTTCCAACTCTAGGATTCTAGGGGTCTAAGTGGGGGGTCTTTGAAATCTGTATCTGTAGATGGGTTTAACTTACTTAACTTTTTAAGCATTCTTTTAGCATGCTTATTCTCTATTTTTTATGGTTTTCAACTGATTTTGCATGCTGATATTCCAGATTTTGCATGCTATACCTTTGTATACCTCCATCTAGACTTATTTCTGTTTGTAATGTTTGCTCTTCAAAACCATTTTTGAGTCCTGTCATGACTCTTCTATGATTCTGTGGACATAGGTGTGTGTGATGAATGCGAAGGAGACTTATGGCAGGAATGTATCCTCAGGAAACAATTAATGTTAATTGTCCCACAGTTGTGGAAAGGGAAGTAAGTCTTTTCTCTCACTACGTTACAGGAAATTTATGACCCTGAGTACAATTGACATGCAAGCTTTTATATATGCAAACACAGGGAAACCTTCCAGTTTTGAGAAGAAGATTAGTAATGGCATCATTTCTGTGCATTAGCAATAAAGGTCCTTTGGAAATAGAATCATAGAATCAAAGAGTTGGAAGAGACCTCCTGGGCCATCCAGTCCAACCCCATTCTGCCAAGAAGCAGGAATGTTGTATTCAAATCACCCCTGACAGATGGCCATCCAGCCTCTGTTTAAAAGCTTCCAAAGAAGGAGCCTCCACCACACTCCCTCGGGGCAGAGAGTTCCACTGCTGAACGGCTCTCACAGTCAGGAAGTTCTTCCTCATGTTCAGATGGAATCTCCTCTCTTGTAGTTTGAAGCCATTGTTCCATTGCGTCCTAGTCTCCAAAAAAGCAGAAAACAAGCTTGCTCCCTCCTCCCTGTGGTTTCCTCTCACATATTTATGCATGGCCCTCATCATATCTCCTCTCAGCCTTCTCTTCTTCAGCATAAACATGCCCAGCTCCTTAAGCCGCTCCTCATAGGGCTTGTTCTCCAGACCCTTGATCATTTTAGTCGCCCTCCTCTGGACACATTCCAGCTTGTCAATATCTCTCTTGAATTGTGGTGCCCAGAATTGGACACAATATTCTAGGTGTGGTCTAACCAAAGCGGAATAGAGCATGGGGAGCATGACGTCCCTAGATCTAGACACTAGGCTCCTTCTAAGTTCCAAAACAAGAGGAAAAACCTCCAAACACAATATCTTTTCAAATACACAAAGTAGAGAGAGGTCAGAATGCAAGGATGGAAAAAAACCAGGCGCTTTAAGCAAAGCCATGCAAGCTGAAGAGTATCCATTCTACACCACCAATCAGATGGGAGCAGAAAGAGAGCGAAGGAGAGAGAACAAACCTAGACATTCCAGTGGACATTCTGGAGCCAGAGGGGAAGGGATCCCCCAGCCTGTTCTAAAGCTAACTAATTGTTTGTCATTGGGGACTGCAGACATGGGCAATGTGGGGAGAATACAGCCAGCCTTTGCTGGGGCAACAGGACAGTTCCTACGGCCTTCGTGGAGTAAAACTAAAGGACACCTTTCAGCTTGGCAGATCTACAGAAATCTTGCCTGGTAAGGGACCACTTGGGCTGTCCATGAAGTAGCTTGGAGCCAGGAGTAGGGGCCTCGTGCCACAAGGTAAAGAAAGATTGCCCAAGGAGGGGTCAGAAGATTTCCCTAAGGAAGCAAGGAACAGTTTACCACCATGAGGAAGAACTTCCTGATTGTGAGAGCCGTTCAGCAGTGGAACTCTCTGCCCCGGAGGGAGTGTGGTGGAGGCTCCTTTTTGGAAGCTTTTAAACAGAGGCTGGATGGCCATCTGTCAGGGGTGATTTGAATGCAATATTCCTGCTTCTTGGCAGAATGGGGTTGGACTGGATGATTGCGCAGGAGGTCTCTTCCGACTCTTTGATTCTATGATTCTATGATTCTATGATTCTAGTTGCCTGCCCCTGTTGGCAGATTGAGGAAGCTACCGGTTTTCCAAGGTTATAAAGCGTTTAATTCATTTTTTTGAAGATTTAAACCCAAATAAAGAACTTTGTTGAACTTATTTTGAGCTTCAATAGAACTTTGTGTTGGGAAATCTAAAGGGCCCTTCAGCTGAGGCACCCCGGTGTCCCGTTGAGCATACAGAAGGCATGTCCTGTAAACAGGCATTATTTCAGGCCCAGCATGCAACAGCCCACCTGCAGTTGCGCTATTTCTCTCCTCAGCTCCTGCACTTCCCAACTACAAATTATTATTATTATTATTATTATTATTATTATTATTATTATTATTACTTTATTTGTACCCCGCTAGCATCTCCCGAAGGACTCGATGCGGCTTACAAAGGCCAAGGCCTCAAAACACAACAATGCAACACCTAAAGCAAATTAAAAACAGTTAAGCAATATTAACAACAAGCAATAAACAATACATCAAGACACAATAAAACTGGGCCGGGCCAGAGTAATGGGTACAGAATTAAAAGTGCTGATGTGAGAGGTGATATGTAAGGATTATAGGGCAAGTGCAGTGTGCGGTGTGCAGCAATCTTAGTTCTACTAAAGTGCTTCTGGGACTTGGTATTGGAGATTCCTAATCTGGGAAGGCACATCGGAACAGCCAGGTCTTCAAGTTCTTTCTAAAGACTGCCAATGTAGGGGCCTGTCTAAGATCTTTGGGGAGGGTGTTCCAGAGTCGGGGGGCCACCACGGAAAAGGCTCTGTCTCGAGTCCCCAGCAAGTGCGCTCATGAGCAGGGCCTCTGCAGATGAACGAAGTGAATGCGTGGGTTCATAGACGGAGATGCGGTCACGCAGGTAGGCTGGTCCCAAACCATTTAGGGCTTTGAAGGTAAGCACCCGCACCTTAAATTCGGCTCGGAAAATAAACGGCAGCCAATGGAGCTCCTTGAACAGGAGTGTTGACCTCTCTCTGTAAGGAGACCCGGTTAACATCCTGGCTGCTGCCCGTTCGACCAGTTGGAATTTCCGAGCCGTTTTCAAGGGCAGCCCCATGTAGAGCGTATTGCAGTAGTCCAATCTGGAGGTGACCAAGGCATGGACCACCCCGGCCAGATCAGCCTTCGCGAGGTACGGTCGCAGTTGGTGCACAAGTCTTAACTGTGCAAAAGCCCTCCCGGACACTGCCGACGCCTGAGCCTCAAGCGTAAGCGATGAGTCCAAGAGGACTCAAAAACTGCGGACCTGTGGCTTCAGGGGGAGTGTAACCCCGTCCAACACAGTTTGCCACCCTATACCCCGATCCAGTTTACGATCGACCAGGAGGACCTCTGTCTTGTCGGGATTGATCTTCAGCTTGTTCCTCCTCATCCAGATAGACACAGCGGCCAGGCACTCGTCCAGCACCCGAGGGGCTTCTTTGGAGTTAGGTGGAAAAGAGTAGTAGAGTTGTGTGTCATCTGTGTAGAGATAGCACCCAACTCCAAAACTCTGGATGACCTCTCCCAGCAATTTCATGTAGATGTTAAAAAGCATGGGAGACAGAATAGAGCCTTGCGGGACCCCACAGGTCCCACAGGGGTTCAAGGGGTCCGAGCAGGCATCTCTGAGCTTCACCATCTGGGTTCGTCCCTCCAGGAAGGACCAGAGCCACGACAAAACCGTGTCCCCGAGACCCATCCCAGAGAGACAACCCAGAAGGATACCATGATTGATGGTATCGAAAGCCAGGGACATGGGCTTGATATACTCATCATGCCACAAGCCTGGGTGTCTGACATTCCTCCAAACACATCATGGCTCACCTCTGAGCTCGAGCAACTCTCCATGGGCTGCCATGTTTCCAAGGAGGTTCGTCAGTGAAGCCAGGCAGCTCCCATTGAAGGGGCATGCACTTTGCACACTGTCAGAAGTTTCCTTCTGACTCGAAGAGCAGCACAGAAGAAGCACACCAAGGAGCTGAATCTCTCTGAAGATAGCCTTTTTTTGCCGACCAAAGCAAATGGTGACAGCTGTGCTCTAGGCAGGAAAATACTGCCACACCCTCAAGATGGGGTTGCGATCGTTTGTTTTACAGAAATCCAAAAAGCACATTTTGATTGGCTTTAACACGTTGTCCATTACCTAATACATTTCTGATTGGCTCTCTAGTACTAAGCAAGGAAACAGGTGTAAAACCACAGAAACTGGAATAAACTAGAACTTCAAACCCTCTTCAAGTGACCTTGACCCTCAGGGATGCGCCTGGCAGGCACCGGCTTATCTCTTAATTACACGTTAAAACAAGAATGCTGTGTGAAATATTAGGGTGGGTAGGCATGAGAATTGCTCCTCCAACTGCAGTGGAAGCTCTCTTCCAAAGCTATACTTTGGTCTGTATACACTTTACAGATGGGACCTATGGTCCTATATATAGCATTTCTGGAATCAGATACAATGACATCTCCTTCACCATTGGGACTCTGAGGTCTGTTGGAGCCTGTCGGTGGAGCAGCTCCGCTTTTATTGTTATTGTGATGGCCCTGCTTTTTCTCTCCACAAAGAAGAGGCAAAATGGCTCACAAGGCAAAGTGGCTCACAATGGGACTATCCCTTTACTCCCCCAGCAGAGCTGTGAGTAGTGAAGCCTTTGTGCAGGTGGGATAGAGAAACCCACACATCCTGCTGTTAGGCTCCAAACAGTGAGACTGAACAAAAGTCCTCCTTTGCCTCCAAAATCCTGGGGAAAGGGGTGGATCATAGAATCATAGAATCCTAGAATCAAAGAGTTGGAAGAGACCTCATGGGCCATCCAGTCCAACCCCCTGCCAAGAAGCAGGAGAAGCATATTGCATTCAAAGCACCCCTGACAGATGGCCATCCAGCCTCTGTTTAAAAGCTTCCAAAGAAGGAGCCTCCACCACACTCTGGGGCAGAGAGTTCCACTGCTGAATGGCTCTCACAGTCAGGAAGTTCTTCCTCATGTTCAGATGGAATCTCCTCTCTTGTAGTTTGAAGCCATTGTTCCTTGTCCTAGTCTCCAGGGAAGGAGAAAACAA